CACGTTTCGTGAGAATAGAAGATGACAATCAGTTGATGGGTTTTTTATTGCATCCTTATAACACAGAATCATCGATGAGAGTTGTGGATGAGCTTTGGTGGTGCTTCATCTGAAGAATATTCTCGTTTGACAATTGAGTGCAGCTGCCAGGTTTACGGTCTACCTGAAAATAGTCGAATAATCGAAATTTCTTCATGCAGGATACTTTGAAATACTTCATTTTCCTAGGAACTTCTCCCACTCATTGCTACTGAATCCCTTGAAACACTTCCGTAAGCTCTCTTTTCTAGAGCGCAGTTTTCACATCTGTATCCTGTTCTATCAGCTCAGCCGAAATATTTCTGCAAAGAAATCTCGAAAATATGTGACTTTCCGGTGTTCCGCTGGAAATTCCTGGCCTACTAGCTTAACAGTGGTAATTTTAATTCGAGGATATTAGAGGTCCCATTAGGGCATTTTTTGAGATTTCTTACCACTGCGCGAGGTTGCTCGTATGTGTCTTCTTCATCCGAACCAATTGTGGCGTAATCATCATGATCGGCAGTGGAACCACTCAACAGCTCCAGTTGATCGTCGTCTTCAGTTTTGCCACCACTTCGCCAACGAACTGTCATCGCTTGAATGGCTGATGACTGCAGTATCATTTGCCTTATTCTGAAACACTCATTCAATACAACATCGCATTCTAGTTCCTCTAAGCTCAACGAATAAACACTTCTATCATTTCGTTGCGTACCACTAATTCATCTCTTTACGAATGCAATGCATGTCTCAGATATAATTGCAACTTTCAAAATCGATTGAAGAGCGCATTTAGAGCAATTCGTTGATCTCAGTATCGTGTTCATTTTCGTGAACAGTGATTTGTCAAGAAGTAAATTCTTACATTGATGAAAATAAAATCGACCCAAGTTGTTGCCTCGAATCAATCAAGGTCATTAATTGGGATTGAGGAGGATATAGTCTGAGATATAGTCAGCCACTCATGGCTTAAAAGAGAAGCGAGTAAAGGACTTGAAAAATGCATTAGAAAACATACCTAGGATCCACTTGATATTGCCGTATAATGGCAGTCACCGCGAATATTGCACCCATGATGACACACAAAAAGAGGAAAACAACTATGGCATCCGCTGAAACTTTTACATTTTAAGTGGTTTAATTCAATAGCACATTCCGATGCTATAATCAGTGATCTACCGATAGGTCACTGAGGGCAGCAACACGATCCACATAGTTCACTTGAGGGAGAGTCAAGGTTTCAGATGCTAAGATGTGTGAATGAATACTTAACATAAGCGAGAAATCAAGTGGAAGAGCAGGTAGGAATATGAGCTCAAGACTGTTTCAAACGTTCGTCTGCGTTAGATAACGATTTTGCACCCACGAAAATTTTTAAAAATCAGATTCCGCTCCGCTATCATACTACAATCCTTGCCAACAACAGTAGGATATCAAAAACAGTGATCGACTTTTGTGTATATTACTTATTGAGCATATCTACTGCTCGTCATGGAATATGTCGATTCCAAAAAAAACGAATAGATGAATGAATAGAATTGAAGTTATTACCGATGCCAAATCCACGCAGATCTCTCGAATACTTCATTTTCACATCAAAAAGCGACATCGCATTTGTGTACTCTACAAAATATTCTTCATTCAATTCGAATCAGTAAAATCTTTTGAATTCATTTGATTCCGTAAAACACATTGCAAAAATATGGAACGTATGTGTCGTTATGAATAAACGAATAATATTCAAGTGAACTTTCAATGGACTATTGAATGAAAAACAGAATAATTGAACAAATTCATAAGCACATGAAAGAACGCTTCAGAAAATCGATTGAATAGAAAATAATTCATCTGAAACTTGAAAAAGCTATAAGAAAACATGCATGAAGATGGGACATACCATAACTGCGATACAAAACCTCGCGTACCTCCCGGATTGTCTCATAGTAAACCCGTTCATCGAATGTTTGATTCTGCGGCCCAAGAACAACAATCTGTAAACTTCGTAAATTCTATAAAGATATTCTTTCATATCCTGCTCGATAATTCATCTATTATTCTAGTAAGCAATGATCAATTCATATGTGATACATTGTCATTTCTTCGCACCATTGCATTTTTCAGATTCTCTTGTTTCAGAAAAGTATAATTGTTATGAATGAGCGCGAGTGATTTTGCTGCCTGATTTTCTGAAGCAATCTCAAGTAGCTCAGCGGGGTTCAACGCAACACATTGCAACACTATAGATCAATGCATTCATTACTATAGCTCAATAAGGGTTACCATTTTCAAGCT